TATTGCCAAATATTTAAAATTTTATTAAAATATATATTTTTTGAATTTACTGGTCCAAACATGTTTAAAACTAATCTGATGTACGCGTGACGCAGTCTAAAAACCAACGCCCATCGTAGAGCCCTGACTTGACTTGAGTCCTTAAAAATGTACTTAAGGTCCAGGAAACCAAACAATGGAAATTGAGTACAAGCATAATTATTTTATTATTTAATGTATGAAAAACTTAATTTAAAACCCTTCAATATATTAATATTTAACACATTTTAAAAAGATTATTAGTAAGCTTATTAATATTTGTAAACATGGAAAATTCTATATTAATTTTAATAAGCATAGCCCTTTATCTAAGTAATGTATCATCAAAGGATTTAGTGACTGATGAACTTAGACGCAACGCGGGCAATTTCTTTTGTGGTAAATATACACTAATAAAATTTATATTATTATTTAAATTATAATAAACTTGAAATTGATTAAATAGATAATAATGGTGCTTATCTAATTTTGTAACTACTACCAGGTAAATTAGCGTGTAAAGATGACGAGGCTATGACTAGTTTACAAAAGTTTAAAGAATGTGTGGAGACAGTATACCCTGATGAAGTAGCAGCTATTGTTGCCATAAGGGAGTCCCAATTGGGTAACCCGGATGAGTGTGTGCGACAAATGCGGACTCAGGTCAACCTTTTCCGTCATAATGATCCTACCGGTGCTCTCCAAGTGCTCGCTTGTATGCGCGACAATATTAATATAACCCAACTTATGCACTGCTAATTCAATTATATCTAATATACCAATAATTTATTTATAATATACTATGCATTATTTATTAAATGTTAATATTAAAATTTTGATTTAAAATATTTATCACTATATTTAATTACCATTAAATTTTATCCAGAATTATTATGTTTGTTTAAAACTTGTTGAGTTTTGTGTATTATATGAATTTAAGCTTTTATAATAAAATTTCTTAATAATAATTTATTTGAAAATAGTTATTTATTCCATTGACTAGTTTTATTTTATGAATTTTTAGGTATGAACAATTTGTCTAATTAAAATCTTGTTTACATTTAATATAACTCTAGTTTTGAACGCTAATTATATCGTATTAATTAAAACTTTAACTAACTAATAAAATTAATTTAATTATTACAAAACGGGGTAATAGATTATATAATAATAATAATAATAATTCCAAATATGATAGCATTCTTTGACATTTTGAATATTTTCAACATTTATCCAGGTTATTTTGATGAACATTATCAATATAACATTTCGTATTCTTACTCCTATCCTCATCAGTGAAGGTCTGATTTAATTGCACCATCTTTTCCATCACTTTAGCTTGACAATTATCAGGGTTATTTTTAGCCACGTCCACTAACTCTTGGGTGCATTTTGGCAACTCTTTAGTCACACACTCCTTGTAAGCCAATACCTCTCGCTTACCGGTGCTGTCCTTACAGTCCACTGAAAAGACAATATTTTTAAGTATTCTTAAAGAATATTCTCAATGTATTTATTTACCACAAAATACTGCATTCATGAAAGCCCTCACGTGATTGATATCACACTGGGCTGACACTGAATACAAATGAGTTGATACCAAGAGCAAAAATACCAGGGTTGATGTTGTTGAAATCATTTCTGTTTTTTGGTAATAATAGACTGGTATATCTGTTAGACTAAATTTTCAATAACCAATTGGACTAGATATCATTGTTTATATACTGGTATACATGTAATGCATATCTTGAATTCAATCCCAAATTTTGTATATTTATAAAAAAAATCTAGGTAATTAAATTAATTAACTAATATTTTAGTGCTTTTTGTGTACAATTTGCAGTGCAGGGGGACTTTTGTGTTTGTTCAGTCATCCAGTAACATTATTTCTAAGAAAAATTGAATAATAATTTGATTTATTTAAATATACTAATTTCGTACTAAAAGTGCAAAAAGTATCCTATAGAGAATCTAGGATTGAAATAGGCAAACAATAATATTGTCTATTATTTAATAATTAGAATTTAATTATCTCTCAATAATTATAAATATGAATTTTTAAACATTTTTAACTTGAATATAGTAGTTTGAATTTCACAATTCAAATATAATTATATTACATTCAAGTTAATATATTATTCATAATTAATTTAAAATTCAATAACATTGTTATTGAAATTATAATTAACTTTTTAGACATGATTGCACATTTACAAAAAGTAAGATTTAAACAAAATAAAAATTACTTTTGTACTTTTATTGAATACATAAGAAATATACTAAGACTTTGAAATGTTAGCCAAAGTTTTCATATAAAAGCTTCAAACAAAATCAAATTTAATTATAAATAATTCAACACATATTTTTAAAAAGTTTTACCAAACAATTTATTAATATATTAACAGTGGCCATCATTTTAAATTTCTTAATATATAAAAGTTAAAATTTATATTAAGATAAAAGATGTCAAATTTATTAACTATAGTGTCAATATTAGTTGTAGGAGTTGTATATGTGTCTGGTCAGGGTGATTTAATGACCGATGAAATGAAAAAGAATGCCAAGATGATGTTGTGTGGTATGTATTTATATTAATTTATTTAAAAATTATCGAGCGTTGATAACATGTAAATACAGTATATTATTTGCAAATGCAATGACCAGGCACCTGTAAAGACGAGGCTGTGCGTGCTGATATAATTAAATTTGGGGAGTGTGTGTCCGGTCATTACCCTGAAGAAGTGGCAGCACTGAAGGCTATCCGTGAGGCCAATCTGGCGAACCCGGATGAGTGCGTCAATAAAATGCGGACACAACTGGAGGGCTATCGTAAGACTCACGCCGACGGTATCGTCAAAGTTATGGAGTGTTTTGCCGCTAATGTTGTGGCCAATCACCTGGCTAAGTGTCATTAATTTTACTAATATGATCCATACGATTTAAATTTATGTTAGCAAATCTAAAACAGAGTATACACTTATATACCATTTAAATCATTTTATGAATTATTCATAAGGGTTTAAATCAAGGAATATTTTAAAATTAATTTAAGCTATAATTTGCATTGAATTTATATAATAATATTTTTTATTATGATTTGTATTTTAATTATTTAATACTTATTGTTGTATGATTTTAATAAGAGTTAATAAAATTATTGATTTAAACAAATAAATATTTTTTTAAATATTTTATTTATTTTTGAACATTTTAATTTTATAACACCATAATAACAACTAAAACAATTTTTATTCTTTGCCTGAGTTTAGGAATACAATTGTGCATGATCAATTAATATAATTTATGTGAATTTACATTTCTTGAAGAGCTCGGGGTGAGCCTTCAAATCCTTAAAGCAGTCGTTAAACAGTTTTTCCTCGTCAGCCGAGGGCTCAGACATGCCTTTCATAGTTGTCAACACACTTTTGATGCATTCATTCTTATTGTCCTTAAGTTTGTTAGAGATCTCCACAAACTTTCCGAAAATCTTGCACTTTTCCGTACATGTCTTGAATGCTGTGATCATTTTCTCGGTGTCCGGGTCTGAACATTTGTCTGAAATGTTATTCAATTTTATTAATGTGTTCAAAGTGATTCATTTTTAGTAATAGTATTGTGCTCATTATAATTAATATTGATATGTTTTTCAAATTAATTTAAATTAACATAAACTAAAACGAGCTTCCAATTTTTAAATAAATAAATTTTATTTTATAAAATTAAAGAACCATGCTTACCGCAGTATAATATAGCCATTCCTTCAGCGCCTTTCTTGTCATCTTCAGTGATTTCTTTAGCGTAAGAAACAAATGCAATCATAAACACAATCAATACAACGAATGATGATTTAGTAAACATTTTGTTTATAGTTTATTACGTTTAAATATAAGAATCAATAATTTTTAAAATGTATTATTATTATAATGATGCTATACAGTAGTAGCAAAAAGATATTTAATACTCAAGGGAAAAAATTTTATTTTTACTAAATTTTAATTAGTATTTATTGCAAAATTTAAGATTATTAACAGTAATAAAATATCGTGTGTTGTTAACAATAAAACTAATACAGTACGTTACATTTATTTTAATTTAGTACATTTCATTATTATTATGATTTTATTTATTCAATTGTAACATAGTTATATTAAATAAATAATCTATTTTCAAACATATATTATAATAGTTCTGTTAAAAATATTTTTGTATTTTAAATATGTTGAATATTAATATATTCAACTATTTATATTAGTTTTGTATAATAATTAATACAAAATTAAAATTGGAAACAATTATTATATTGTGTAACTTGCTGACAAATTCTAAATTTATAATTAATAATTACATTAATAAGAAATTTTGGTATAATGATTATAAAATATCGTAATATTAAAAATATAATGCCTTATTTTAATTCTTTTAAAATTAAATGTTGAATACTGTAAATGCTGAACAAATAACAAATTGCTTAATTATATGATATAATGTATATTTGAAAAACAAATGAATAGAAATGTACTTATAATTATCTAATTCAATTTTAATTACTTTTAAATTATCAATTCCTTTACTGATTGCCACACTTTAAAATATTATTTTTATGATCCCGTATAATATCCCCACATTTGCGATACTTGTCCTGTTCATCACGGGTAGGGTGGGGTAGACTTTGTTTGGCCTTTTCATAACTGGTTATGCATTCACTTATGTCCGACTTTTTCTCGTTCACCACATTTAAGATTTTATCCAAATCTTTATAACCTTTCAAACAATCCATGGCTTGTGTTATGTATTTAGCGCCATCAGGGTCTTTGCAAACAGCTTAGGAATAAATTGATCTTTTAAATTAATCCTTTACAATATAATTTATTCTTGATTGTCTAAATAACATTATTATAAACTTAATTACCGCAAAATAATATTGCAAATCCGTGTGGTTTGTCAATGTCCCAGTGTAATTTAAATGCGTTTAATGACCATGGTGATAGTGAAATAAGTAGAATTATAAATTCTGGTTTCATTTTAGTGTTGATATTGTTATAATGAAATTTTTGATTCATTCATATAAACTAAATTACTCTTAATTTTATATGCATTCATAAAATTGTATTAGATATTCATAAAAATATTTATTTATTTGTTTATTTTGAGTGTAATTTTGGTAAAATTCTTGGAAATGTGACGTTTGATGAGTTATAATATTTATTCAATTGAATATTATTTCTCTGAAAATAATAAAGCCTAGATTTATCATTCGTAATAATTTCTATTAATAATATAAAATTATATTAGAGAATTAATAAGAATTATTATATTTTTGAGCGTGTGCCTGAATAAACAGGTTTTTGATAAACAAGCTATTTCTCAATAAATCGTTGTTATTTGAATACTATTATATTGTACTATATATTATGTCATTTTAAGCTATAGTTTAAAATATACAGTATTATACTAATTGTTTCATTCGTTATCTCAAATTCCTGAGCAAAGGACGTGGAGTTCACACATGCCTTCAAATCACTTATAACTTTGGCATCATTTCCATCCTTACATTTAGCTTTAAATCATTAATTATTTAATAAAATAGATTTTAAATAAAGTAATTTACTTGCAAAAATGAAAATACATGTTAAATTTAATTTTATAAATTTAATAATGAACCAACCACAATACATTGCATTTAATATTCTTGAACCTTGCCATTTTATAGTCTCATTAAAATCATTTAATTGACCAAGTTGAATTACAAATACTATTGTCAATAGTCTATTGATATCAATTTTATCATTATATTTATTTTGTATGTTTAATTTCAAAAATTATAATTAAAAATACAAATTAAATTAAACCCTCAACTACAACAGCAGATTATTATATTTTTTTAAAATTGTGTTCATTTGGCGTCCAGTAGTCACTACACTGTAGTATTATATAATGTTAACTAACAAGAAATTATAATTAATTTATGTTACCAATTAAATGTCAAATAATTTTAAATTTCTGTATAACAACTGTACAATATATGCAAGAATTACATTAATTTAAACATTTATTTTTTAATTAAAACAAATATTTTAACTAATAATTATCCTTTAATAAATTTTGATATTATATTTTTTCTGAATTACCGTATATGAAATAATATGATTTACTTTCATTTTGCATTTTTAATTGTTTCCTATAGAATACTAAACAACTGAGTATTTTTATATCTATAAAGTGTCTTCGAGTTAAATTACAAAATAACAAAATTATTATTATGATTATTAAATAAATTTTATAGAATGCTAAATTGTTTATGCAATCAATTTGTATACTAAACAACTGAGTATTTTTATATCTATAAAGTGTCTTCGAGTTAAATTACAAAATAACAAAATTATTATTATGATTATTAAATAAATTTTATAGAATGTTAAATTGTTTATGCAATCAATTTGTATTTATTTATTTATTTAACATTTTTTAATAGTTTCACTAGTCTTTAAAATATCGGTAACGCATTGTTTCAATTGATCACCCTCGCTCTTTTCCATCTTGTTCAATTTGTCCAGATACTCATTTAACTTTGGAATACAAGTATCCGCCCCCTTTGCTTTTAGTTGATCACCTTGCTTATTTAGTTCTTTGCCAAATTCATTGATTGTGATACACTGTTTGAATTTTGCAATAGCCTTGGTCCCATCGCTATTCTTACAATCAGCTATTGGTTAGAAAATTATTTATTTTACAGTATTTTAATAAAAAATAACTTATTTGTTATGATATACTGTACCACAATAAATAGTGGCGATTCCAGTGTGGTTTTTCAAATCCCATGATATGGCTGAGCAATTAACTAAACTTATAATTGCTAGTAACAAGATTATGCAAATCAATGATTTAGACATTTTAGAATGTTCTAAATTTACTCTTATTGTATTTTAATTATGGTTTATAGTTCGTTTATAAATTATATTTATATATTTATTTAATAATTGTGTCATTTCAACAAGGTTCAAGCTAAATAAACATTTTTATATAATGACTAATTTATAAATTAGTAATTATTGCGGTATAACAAATGCAACTAAATAAAAATTTAATTTACATAATATAATTATTTTATTTAAATATATATTTATATTTGAAATATTATAAAATATTTAAGAAATTTTAATAAGTTTTAAAAGACTATATATAAATATTATATTATTTATTTTATTTTATATGTTTTAAAATTTTTATATTTAAAACATTTAGAGTATTAACATAATAATAAGAGTGTCAGAGGTACGAAGTGACTTAACTTTTATTTCACATAATGGTTATGATTGATAGATTAATGCATTAGTGAGCTGGTATTGCTGGATTATGTATTTTTAATATTTGACTAGGATTCTTATGTGGTGTGGTTTCTTATGGGGGATTCTATTTGCTGTTAACTTATCATAAAATTATCTGACCTACCTCATAAATTGACTGGGAAATAATCCTAAACCTATCACTATGTTGCGGAGCGTATAAATTAAGTTTATACATTGTGCTTGAAATAAAAGTTAAGGTACTTCGGACCTCTATTACTCTTATAATATTATGTTTATAAATATTCTCTAATAATTACATTGTAATCAAATTGATTTGTATAATGATTTAATAGGTTCATCTATCATAAAAATTATAAATTGTCTACCATATCATTTTAAGCAAATTATTTTTACTTTTACATAAATTAATTTTAAATTTTGAGGGTATATTGTATTATATTTTACAATATTTTGATAATTATTTAGTTTTATATTTTTATTTTAATTCAAATATATATTAAAATAATAATACTTTTGAAACAAATAAGACATAAGACTTCTTAATAATGACATGTTATTTGTTAATTTTATTACCGTATAATATGATAATATAATTTTTTAAAAATATTTAATATCAAATTTTAAAATTAATAACAATATTCTTAACACTTTTTAATATCCGCACTTGACTTAAACAAAGCATCTGAACAGTCTTTGAGTTTTGCTTGTTCCTTATCATGCTTATCAATAGTATCAAGGTATTTACTAAATTCAGTAACACAAGCCTCTGTGCCTTTAGCCTTAAGCTCATCCCCTTTCTTATTGACCGCCTGTCCCATAGGGTACGCACTAATGCATTGCTTGAATGTTGCGATCGCTTTGACTCCATCGGCGCTGTTCTTGCATTCGGCTATTATTTTGATTAAAAGTTAAATGAATTGAAATCATGTATTATATAAGAAAGCAATACCGCAATACATCTTTGCAAATCCATTCCCCTTTTCCATATCCCATGACCAGACCCCACCAATTATTATTGAAATTGCTATTATAACATAAAGACTCATAGACATCTTAATTGTTTTGTAAATTGAAAACTAAAGCTTTTGAATAAATCTAAACTTCTAACAATTACTGAAATATATTATTCTACTTATTTCTTTTTATAATATTATATAATAAGCTGAATAAATATAATAAATGCATTAAGGTTTTTAAATTTTAATATAATAATACTGTATAACAGATGTAACATAATAAATATAAATACTGTAATTATATTACAAACTATTTTGATATAATTTATTGATAATTAAAATTTAATAATTAATTAGAAGATATTACTTTAGACTCTAAAGTTTAGAGCTAAGAAACTCAACCAAATAAATTTATATGAGAATAATTCATATATTTTATTTATTTTAAACGTTTTATAAATAAACAATTTTTTGCAAAGTTTTATTTGGACAGGTCTGATTATTAAATTTCGAAATAATAATTAAAAATCGCAATTAATTATTAAAACTAAATGTTTATTAAAATTTAATAATAAATTCCTGAGTTTACAATTAGAGATATTTATTGACTGAGACAAGCTCTAGTCTCCGCACTTTTTAATCTCATCCCGGTGCTTATCCAATTCAACACTACAGGTGTCATTCTTTTTATAGTCATCCGGTTTAGCGTTTTCTCTGAAAGTCTTCATCAGATCATGAAGTTTGTGGAGACAGTCGTCAAATTTAGCCCTCGTTTGGTTCGCCACTTCAGCCATTTTGATGGCTTCGGGACAGTCCACCACACAATCCATGAACTCTTTGATATATTTCTTGCCATTTAAGTCCTGACACTCGCCTATGTGCCCAGAATACGGATTTAAAGTTTAAAAATTAATAAAACTTTCAAAGTTTCCTTTTGCTTAATATTTTATATACTCTATAATTAAATATAATCTAGTAGAACTATATATAGTTGAAATATCTTTGTTAAATTATCATTAGTTTTCTTGTCTGAATTCAAATATAAATATAATGTCAGTTTTAGTGTGATAGTCTGGTATTTATCTGATCATACGGTATAATAACATTGATGTCATTTTGTTAGAGTATCTCTATACAATAAAATATTATTACAATTTTCATTATTTGATTTTCAAGATTTCTAAGATAATAAATAACTAGTTAATTACCGCAATATAACATAGCAATCCCATCGCCTTCATTGACATCCCAGGTCTTTGCTATAGTTTCAACACCAATGACCACACCATACGACACAATCACTATGAATGATATAAACACAATTAATTTTGCAATCATTGCTAACTATAATTTTAATTTTATAAAATGAATATTTATTTAGATATAAATTTTAATCACAAGAGACACTAATAATAATTTTGATGCGTATATTAGTCTATATTAAAATTGCATTAGTTTTAGAAAATATATTTTAATTACAGTATTGTGTAATATATTTGATTGTTTGAACAAATGCTCCTTTTTGTATAATTTACTTATTAGTACCGGTATTAAATAATTTTAAAATTAAATGTGAAAATTAAAAATTATTACAATAAATATAAACAATTAAACTAAATATAAAACTTATTTTTGAAAGTACAGTATTAAACATTGAATGAATATTTTGGGTGAAGTAATGCTAAATTACCTAAAAATTCCTACATTTAAGAAATAGTTAATAGTTTAACTTNAAATTACCTAAAAATTCCTACATTTAAGAAATAGTTAATAGTTTAACTTTAAAATTTATCTTATCGTCTATTAGAAATTTATTATTTCTTAAATAGTAATGAATTGTGTAATAACAAATTGACTGAGACTGGCTCCTAATTATAATAATTGTATACTATTAATATATCATTTAAAAAAGCAAAAGCAAATTCTTGAATAGACACCAATTTTATTTTATTAAATTAATATTTACTTATTTTAATTTTGATTCTTGAAGGCATATAAGGT